GTTCACAAAACGTTGCAGTAGGATGTGCACTTTAGCCAAGAATTCCAACATTTTATGACAGCACCCCTGTATATGGGAGGTAACAAGTTATAGAGGAAAGAGGTCCGCCAGCTGAAATCACAACTACCTGTACTCTTTCTCTCCCCTTTTGAATGGTTGTAGCTTCATGATGCTGGCTTTCTAGAAAGCATTTCCCCTTGGTTGTCCCTTGGGCACAGGTTTAGTTCTATTGTGCAATGGAACTAACACACTCACATATGCTGTAAATGCCCTTATGTTAACTACAAAAATATTGGAAAAGCTAATTTTGGAATGAACTCCTGGAACTTTTTGTCATTACATTTGGCCATATGAGTCTGAGTCTTTACTAACTCATGAGAGTTTATTTCTGAACTGGTTTTGCCTAGTCATTAAATAACAGGTTACTAATTAGGATTGTAATTAAGAAAAAAATAAGTGACTAATAAGTGTATTCCCATATAGAGGACTAAAAGTAGGTAAGTAGAAATTTGGTACTTAATAATAATAATAATAATAATAATAATAATAATAATAATAATAAACTCAAGTTCTGCCACTGTGAAAACCTCTGAACAAAGTCAAATACTCAATCATCAGCAATAATCGTCATGTCTAGTGAAGTGTAAAGCACTTATTTTTGTTGTTAACCTCTATCTCGTTGACTTTGACTTCTAAGTAACCTTGTCATCAACAGCCTGTTCAGGGCTGGACATTCAAATCCAAATATACTAGTGAAACTGTGACTTTATTTTTATTTTTTAAATTTAATTTTGACATAAACAATCTAATTTATTATCATACACACACACACATGAAATAGAAAAAAAGAAAAAAGAAGAGAAAGGGAGGGGAAAAAAAGACATGCAGTGAACCTTTGGTAGGTATCCACAGAAGTTTGGTTCCAGAACTCCCATGGATACCCAAATCTGTGGATGCTCAAGTCCCATTACATTATGTATAAAATGTATTAAAACAGTGTCCCTTATATAAAATGCCAAGATCGAGATTTTGCTTTTGGAATTTTCTTTGGAATATTTCCGAGCTCTGGATGGCTGAATACATGGAAACAGAATCCATGGATGCAGAGTGCTGATTGTACAACTAAGTCTTAATTGTAAATGAAAGAATAGTAAAAAACAAACAAACAAAACAACAACCCCTCAGATACAATTAAATAATTCTACTAAAATTACTAATAACTTTAATTACATATCTTTAATTATCCTTATAACTCATGTTTATTTGACCAACTGAGTCAAATTGGCAATCATAACAATCAATTCTTCTGTCTTTGGTGCTTCAGTCCTTTTCCAAATTTGAGCAAACAATATTTTTGCTGCTGTTTTCATATATTGAAGAAGTAAACCATATGTACTCTCCAGTTCTTTATCAATAATACCTTAGAAAAATATTTCTGGTATTTCCGACTCTTCATGACTTCATGGACCAGCCCACGCCAGAGCTCCCTGTCGGTCGTCACCAATCCCAGCTCCTTCAAGGTCATTCCAGTCACTTCAAGGATACCATTCATCCATCTTGCCATTGGTCGACCCCTCTTCCTTTTGCCTTCCATTTTCTCCAGCATCTTTGTCTTCTCTAAGCTTTCCTTTCTTCTCATGATGTGGCCAAAGTACTTCATCTTGGCCTCTATTATTCTTCCCTCCAATGAGCAGTCAGGCTTTATTTCTTGAAGTATGGACTGTTTGGATTTTCTCACTGTCCAAGGCACTCTCAGAACTTTTCTCCAACACCACAGTTCAAAAGCATCTATCTTCCTTCGCTCAGCCTTCCCTATGGTCCAGCTCTCACATCCTTAGGTGACTACGGGAATACCATTGCTTTTACTATGCGGATCTTTGTTGCCAGTGTGATGTCTCTACTTTTCACTATTTTATCAAGATTGGTCATTGCTCTCCTCCCAAGAAGTAAGTGTCTCCTGATTTCCTGGCTGCAGTCTGCATCTGCAGTAATCTTTGCACCTAGAAATACAAAGTCTGTCACTGCCTCCACGTTTTCTCCCTCTATTTCCCAGTTGTCAATCATTCTTGTTGCCATAATCTTGTTTTTTTTTTATATTTAACTGCCACCCAGCTTTTGCGCTTTCTTCTTTCACTTTGATTAGAAGGCTCCTCAGCTCCTCCTCGCTTTCGGACATCAAAGTGGTGTCATCTGCATATCTGAGGTTGTTAATGTTTCTTCCAGCAATTTTCACCCCAGCCTTGCATTTGTCAAGCCCTGCACATCGCATGATGTGTTCTGCATACAATCTTGAACTAGTCTGTTGTTCCATGGTCAGTTCTTACTGTTGCTACTTGGTCCTTATACAGATTCCTCAGGAGAGAGATAACGTGATTTGGTATGCCCATACCACCAAGAACTTACCACAATTTATTATGATCCACACAGTCAAAGTCTTTAGAATAGTCAATGAAACAGAAATAGATGTTTTTCTGAAACTCCCTGCCTTTCTCCATTATCCAGCGGATATTGGCAATTTGGTCTTTTGTTCCTCTGCCTTTTCTAAACCCATCTTGAACATCTGGCAACTCTCGCTCCATGTATTGCTGGAGTCTTCCTTGCAGGATCTTGAGCATTACCTTACTGGCATGAGAAATAAGGGCCACTGTATGGAAGTTTGAGCAGTCTTTAGCATTTCCCTTTGCTGGAGTATTTCTGGTAATATTCCAAAATCTCTCTCTCTTTTGATTCACATGTGCATATTAGATCAATAACTCTTGCCTTCTTACAAGTCCACAACATATGAAAAAGGAGCTATCCTTATCTTGACATCTTTTATGTTGGTTTTAAACATTATGAGACAGTTTGGGGGCTAGACACCATCTATATATCATCTTACATAGTTTTTCTTTAAAATTACAGCACAAAGTATGTCTTACATCTTTGGCCCACATTTTCCTGCACACATACAAATCCACCTTATCATGTAATATTTTATAGGCCCATCTTCTGTCTCTAGTAAAACAAAAAACTAACAACAGTTTATATACTTCTAAAATTACATGGTCATTACACAACTTACATAAAGCTCATTTTCTCTAACCTCTATTTCTCTTATCTTGATTAAATCTATCATTGCATTGTATATAAACAAAGCAATTAAGATCTTTGCCTTCCTTAAGAATCATCTTTCAAGATTTAAATTTCAAAATACAAGAGATCATCATAAAACAACCGTCTCCAAGGCAGCAAATATTATCTAAGTAAAAATCTCTGTGTATTACACCAAATTTATAGGACAGCCTTTCTAATACAATGAATTTTGTCTGCCGGACCTATATTTTCTTCCATTGCACGAAAGGTGTTGCATTTGTTATAATAAGAGTCACTTGAAAAAGAAATAACAGCTTTGACATTTGCTTTTATTATTTTACCCAAAACAATACATGTAAATTTCCATATTTTTCTAAATGACTTTTAATTTCTTTCCAGATTTTTCATAATTGATTTGAAAGAATAAATGATCATTGAAGGCTTTCATGGCTGGAATCAATGGGTTGCTGTGGGTTTTCCAGGCTGTATGGCCATGTTCCAGAAGCATTATCTCCCGACGTTTCACCCACATCTATGGCAGGCATCCTCAGAGGTTGAGGAGGTCTGTTGGAAACTAGACAAGTGAGGTTTATATATCTGTGGAATGTCCAGGGTGGGAGAAAGAACTTTTGCCTGCTTGAGGCAAGTGTGAATGTCACAACTAGCCACCTTGATTAGCATTGAATGGCCTTGCAGCTTCAAAGCCTGGCTGGTTGCTACCTGGGTGTGTGTGGTTGCTACCCAGATCTATTTCTGTTTGGAATTCCCCTGCTTTTTGAGTCTTACTCTTTATTTACTGTTCTGATTTTAGAGTTTTTTAAATACTGGTAGCCAAATTTTGTTCATTTTCATGGTTTCCTCCTTTCTGTCCACATGCTTGTGGATTTCAATGGCTTCTCTATATAGTCTGGCACAGTAGTTGTTAACAATCAACCACTTACTTAGTTTCCAACAAACCCCTCAACCTCTGAGGATGCTTGCCATAGATATGGGTGAAATGACAGAAGAGAATGCTTCTGGAACATGGCCATAAAGCCCGGAAAACTCACAGCAACCCAATAAATGATTGTTCGTTGCCAAATACCTAATTCCACTTTAAAATGTGAAAGAGCAGTTAGTTACTTCATTGTCCTCTTCTGAAGCACATTTTAGTCAGCAATTTTCTTTTGTTGTAATTCACTTTAAACATGAAGCATATCTCAAATACCTTAATTGCTTCCAGAATAACATTCATTAAATTAAATGGGTTTTGTGATATTACCAACAAATTATCTGCAAACACTCTCACCTTGCACTTTTCTTTTGTTTACTCTCACCCCATAGAGTCTTATCAACTTGTCTGATAAAATAAACTGTAAAACTGAGAAGGGACTCCCTTGTCTGGCCCCCTTTTGTATTCCAATTTATCAATTGCATTGTCATTTACAAGATCTGGGCCTTTTGAACTGAGTGGATTGTCTTCATTGCCAGAAAAATATTTTCACCAAAGTTGATTATCCCCAATACTTGAAATAAGTACTTCCAGGAAATATTATCAAACATGTTATCTGCGTCTTAAAAAACGATTAAAGGGCCTTTTGTCATTATGGTGTTAAAACAAAAATGACAATTCTCACATTATTCCTTATTTGTCTAAAGCAGGCGGAGGTACCTGTTTTAGATACCTCATAGATATTCAGAGAGGTATATTTTTACAATCTTCTTGCATATTTCTTACAGTCATAAATTAGCAGCGAGGTTGATTTATAATTCTTTCTTAATGTCTCATCTGTATTTCCTTTATGAATCACTATATTATAAGCATTTCTTCAATAATCTGCCATTTGCTCTTCTTATAATAACTCATCAGGAAATGTAACTTTGAATTACCATGAAGTAAACTGATGAAATGCATTTGTTATGAATATTCTCTTTGGATCTTTTTTAAAAAAATCATGTTTATTATCACTGCTCTGAACCATCACACATCCAGCCCTTTGCTGCCATCATGTGGCTGCATCCAGACCTCTAGATCAGGCATGGGCAAACTTGGGCCCACTGGCTATTAGGAATTGTAGGAGTCTGAAGTCCAAAACATCCTGGAGGGCTGAAGTTTGCCCACGCCTGCTCCAAACGGTGTTCTCCTTGTGCTGAATAAGATTTTCCTTAGTCTATCATTTTCTTATTTGCTCAGAACACCCTCATACAAATTCTCATTTTTCTCTGCTGTCCCAGAAGGTAGAAGGAGGTCTAATGGTTTGAAGTTACAGAGAGTAGATTTCAATTGAACATTAGAAGGATGTCTTGACAGTGGTTCGGCAATGAAAGCAATCATCTAGAGCAGGGGTTCTCAAACTTTTCCACCCACTGAGCCCTTTTTGAAGCAAAAGTTTCTCATGGAGCCACAAGAAATGTTATATGTGTGTGTGTGTGTGCGTGTGTATCAGGGATGGGCAAACTTTTGGACTAGAATAAACTTGACAGTATTTCAGTGGAAGACCCCTGGGGCCACCCAGTCCAATCTCTGCCATGCAGAAAAGGCACAATCAGAGCACCCCCAAAAGATGGCCACCCAGCCTTTATGGTAATAGGAGCTATCCCAGGGGCCATCCAGTCCAACCCTTCTCTGCCATTCAGGAAAAGCACATGCAAATCACCCCCTGAGTCAAAGGTGGGAAAAAAGGGTTTTGTAAAAAAAGCAAGGAGAGAGGGAAAGGATCTGGGTGGTGAGGGAAAAGGCTTTTGGGAGTGAGGGAAGCAAGGAAAATGGCTTTTGGTGGCAAGGGAGGTGGGGGAAAGGGAGGAGCAGGAAAGATGAGGGAAAGATTGGAGGGGAAAAGAAGTGTGGAGCCCCTCAGTATGCTTTGTGGAGCCCTAAGGGCTCTGCAGAGCACACTTTGAGAACTGCATCCTTTTAAATTAAAGTATTTCCTCAACCAAACAGATATTGGCTGGTCAAAGGAGCAGCAATCTTGCTGCTTTTATGCCATCTTTAACTATATCTGGTTTGGTCATTTTGTTGCTACTTCCTTTAGCAATATTTTCAGTTAAAATGGCACTTGACTGAAGCCTAGACTAAGCTGGTTGCTTACAAAGCACTTTCTTTCTCCTTAAATTCTGGAAGCAATATCCAGAGAGGAAGAGGAGAGGAGTGTTGCTAGACTTACTATCAGGCACCAGCATTTTTATAAAAAGCAATGCAGTCACATGGTAGAGAATGCATACCCCGAAAGCCCCTTACCTGGGGACTAATCAGACCCAGCAGTGTCTCTGGAAACAAGGTTATGTGTAAGAAGAAAATAGGAGAAAGGGCAGTGGGTGAAGAAGGATTGAGAAGCATGTGATAGGAAAAGGAAAATACGTGAGTGAAACTGTTTCTACTTTGAGTTTCTGGAAGAACAAATTGTCTGAAACAGGGATCCAAGGCTATGATACTTGCAGAACTAATGGCTGTGCTTCATCTGAAGTAAGTCCAGCTATCAAACTCTCCGCTACAAGGAAATAGCTGTAGCAAATCATTAAGCAATTATCAATCAGATATTAAATCATAGAATCATAGAGTTGGAAGAGACCTCATGGGCCATCCAGTCCAACCTCTTGCCAAGAAGCAGGAAAATTGCATTCAAAGCACCCCCGACAGATGGCCATCCAGCCTCTGTTTAAAAGCTTCCAAAGGAGGAGCCTCCACCACACTTTGAGGCAGAAAGTTCCACTGCTGAACAGTTCTCACAGTCAGGAAGTTCTTTCTCATGTTCAGATGGAATCTCCTTTCTTTTAGTTTGAAGCCATTGTTCCGCGTCCTAGTCTCCGGGTCAGCAGAAAGCAAGCTTGCTCCCTCCTCCCTATGACTTCCTCTAACATATTTATACATGGCTATCATGTCTCCTCTCAGCCTTCTCTTCTTCAGGCTAAACATGTCCAGCTCTTTGAGCCGCTCCTCATAGGGCTTGTTCTCCAGACCCTTGATAATTTTAGTCGCCCTCCTCTGGACACATTCCAGTTTGTCAATATCTCTTTTGAATTGCGGTGCCCAGAATTGGACACAATATTCCAGGTGTAAACATACAATTGCCAGCTGAGTATGTCAATCTGCCACCATTCTGGGACAGATACCACATCCATCTCTATCATGACTGGTTTGCCTTAGTTAATTTCAGTTCCCTGTAAGGAAGACTTGAGGGTTTAAGTTAAAGGAACCCAGATGTCGCCAAGTAAAATGTGTTCTCCAAATTGGAAAAGTGAAAAGAGACATACTCTAAAACCAATTGCTAGAAGTCATTTTTTGTTATTTCTCCCCAAATGAATAGTATGGTTTTGGGGAGAAGGGAGTAAAAACACTTACTGCAAATTCTGCTGTACTCAATTCACTCAACAAAGTTGCAAAGCTCAATTCAGATCCCATCGAAGATGAGCACCCAGGAGAACTGGGCCAGAAAACAATATCCACTGACTGAATGAAAAGTAGACCATGGAGGCAAGGCCAGCATCTTCTCAGAAATGAAGTTTGGAAACGGTAGAAGGGACACTTTATGATAATTTTTTTAAGGTAAACAGGTATATTGCTAGGACACCCCTGAGTTTGTTCCAGGAGCAGTAGTCTTCATGTTTTAAATCAAGTGCAAAACAAAATACAAATCTCCTTTTCAGATGTAGACATAAGGTTCTCCCATCCCCATACCTACTTCTTCTCTTCCTTATTCATTGCTGTGGGGGTAACTTATGTCGGAAATAGAGAAATTGACTAAAAAAAGAGAGAAATACAGAAAAAGTGGGCAATTTCCCATGGTCTGGGGGTGCATATACAACCCTCACCCCTGGACTTTAGATGGCAATATTATGTAGCTCCCACCGCTGCTTTTCCCCCCTTTTAACAAAATTTTAACTGAAAAGGCCTCTCATGCTTCTAAGGCACATGGGGATCATTCTGAAAGAAGGAAATGAGAATGAAATGAGCCATTCTTTTCCACCGTCTTCAATGACATGCTAAAAACTGCCCTCAACAGCCCTGAGAGGTTGAGGTGGAGTGCTTTTTCATCCCTACAAGTTGAGACTAAGGAGGCACATTAGAGCCTCTGAGCATGTCATGTTGTTATCCTCTTATTTGGTCCTGCCAGAGGTGCAAAGACATTATTTTGCAACTTCACTAGTGCTGAGAAAGAGCTCAATAAATTTTGGTTGGGGAGGACAAGTCAAGTGGTCAGTAAGTCTGTGGTGATAATATAAAGAGCCGGTCTTCTTCCTTGCGGATCCATTTCATAAGTTTGTTGACAGCAGAGAGAGCTGTTGCTTTGGTTCCCAGGGGGCTGAAGCATACATAGAGCTCAAATGCACTTGTCACCTAGAGAAAAGAAATGTAAAACTGAATTATGGCATGCCATCAAAGCAAAGAAGCCACTCAAGTGTTTTTATTGACTATGTTCTGAACAAGTAATCCCCAATTCAACTTGTACATAAAGAGCTGTTACCACATCGGTTATAAAGAATGGTTTGTAATATTTTCAACTGTTCCACCTGTAGCTGAGTGAAGGGGGAAACTATGGGAGATTTTGGGAAGAATAGTAAAAATAAAGGTTTTCACCTGATATTAAGTCCAGCCGTGTCCGACTCTGGGGTGTGGCTCAGAGTATAAACTGCTCTTATGTGTTGCTCATCTCCATTTCTAAGCCGAAGAGCCGACATTGTCCGTAGACACTTCCAAGGTCATGTGGCTGGCATGACTGCATGGAGCGCCATTACCTTCCCACCAGAGAGGTACCTATTGATCTACTCACATTTGCATGTTTGCGAACTGCTAAGTTGCAGAAGCTGGGGCTGACAGCGGGAGCTCACACTACTCCCTGGATTTGAACCTGCGACCTTTCAGAACACTGATGCAAAATCCCATGTTTGTAAAATGCTAGTGGAGTTTAGAGTTTAGACCTTGCAGACTTTTTAAGCAATAGAACTTTTAAAAACCATAATAATAGGAGTTGCTGAAAATATTCCTTCAGTGAACTGATTACAAATATGCTTAAAAAACCAATTACAAACATGCTACAAAAATCAAAAAGCTTTTCATCTTTTGATCAATGACACATCTGTATAATGAAGGGGTGCACCAGTAAGAAAGCAAAGTTACACATCCAGATATTGCTGGCCTTGAGATACCATAATATCTTAACATTATTAGTCATGCTGACTGGGGCTGTTTGGAAATGAACTCCAAAACACCCGGATGGCCAAAACTTCCTCCTTTAGGAGTTCCTGTTCCTGCTTTTACTACCAATTCTCTAGAAACTACAGCTGAATCACAGCACTGATGAAGTGAGACTCTCACCCAAGCAAGGAGATTTTCATTTGATCCAGTATAATAGATGTTATGCAGTGGACGGGAGGAATTATGGGCCCGGCTGTGTAAATACTGATACAGTCCCAGAAGTCTTTCTTTTTCCTCTTCAGTAATATAGGGAGCATCAATCTCCGGGCTGGAAAAAATAATTTGGTTAGAGTTACTTATTATAAAAGATGTGAAAGAGGAACAGCTGCTTCTTGGGGGACAAACATTTATCTCAAGCAGAAGGCTGTACAAGTGATCCTGCTAAATGCTCTCCATATTTCAGATGAGCTATAATTGAAATAGAACATCTAATTAGTACAGCTACAATTTCATTTATAATGGACAATGTTAGGTGTCACTGGGGATCGGGGACTGGAGACTCTCAAGAGATCTAAAATGCATTTCTGCTGCACAATCAGATGTGCTATATTGGTGCCATGGAAACGGTCCTTTAGCTGGAACTGCAACGTGTTCTTGTCATTTAGAACACCCCATTTCCATTATTTATCCCAGAAAATGTTACTTGACTGGTAATATCCTCTTAATAATTATCTCTCACAGCTAGATGGTTGAAACAGCATTTCAATAATCCATCATTTTATGCCTAAACATTTTAAAAGCATAAACTGCTATTATTTTTGCAAGCCCAGAATAGTACATATGCAATCCCTTCAGAGTATTTTAACTCCAGACTGTTGAAACAGGGGAAAACCAAAGAGCAATGTTGAGCTCAATTGTCCAAATAGCAAGTTGTATCACTATTAGGACAGGCAGCAACTTGTCACATGATATCTGTGTTGGATGGGGTTACACTCCCCCTGAAGACTCAGGTTCTCAGCTTGGGAGTGATCCTGGATTCATCACTGAGCCTGAGACCCCAAGTCTTGGCCATGGCCAGGGGAGCTTTTGCATAGTTAAAACTTGTGCACCAGCTGTGCTTGCACCTTGGGAAGCCTGATCTGGCTACGATGGTCCACCCTCTTGTTACATCCTGAACAGATTACTGCAACGCACTCTACGTGGGGTTGCCTTTGAAGACTGTTCGGAAACTCCAACTAGTCCAATGGGTGGCAGCCAGATTACTAACTGGAGCGACATACAGGGAGCACACTACCCCTCTGTTGTGTCAGCTCCACTGGCTGCTCCACTTCCGAGCACAATTCAAAGTGCTGGTTTTGGCCTATAAAGTCCTATACAGTTCCGGCCCAACATACCTGTACAAACCTATCTCCCTCTATGTCCTGCCTCGGAATTTAAGATTGTCCAGGGAGGCCCTGCTCTCGCTCCCGCCTTCTTCGCAAACACATTTGGAGGGGACGAGAGACAGGGCCTTCTCGGTGATGGCCCCCACCTATAGAATGCACTCCCTAATGAGATTAGGTCACCTCCACCCCGTCTCTTTTAGAAAGAAACTAAAATCACAGTTTTGGGACCAGGCATTTGGACAGTAAGTTTGGCAGCAATCATAATGTTTTGATATCTAACTATGACAGGTTTGGACTGGGTTTTTGGTTGTTGAATCAGATTTGGATATGGAGATATGGTGAATAATAATGTTTTAAATGGGTTTAGCTTGATGTTTTTACTTATTGTGTAATGTTATATGTAATTGTGCTTGTATGTTGGTGGCATCAAATTGCTGCCATTGTGAGCCGCCCTGACTCCCCCCTCGGGGCTTGTGAAGGACGGGGTATAAATGTTGGAAATAAATTAATAAATAAATATCTGGTACAGAAACTCAAAAGCATCTTGATGCCACACAGCTAAAGAAAGATGCCATCCTGACTGATATGGACTACTTTGAACAAAGAGAAGTAAAATGGCCCCTGCTCTCAGCAAGGCAACCAGAGAAGTTGCTCAGGAGAGACCCTTACCTGGTGAAGAGCCCCGAGCTCTTGGATTTGTAGATGAAGTGCCGGAGGTCTGGGATTCCTACTTGGGAAGCACTGTAGAAAGGTGTGTGCAGTGCCTCCAAGAGAGCATGATAAACACCACGCTTCTTCAGGCGCTCTTGGAACTTGCGCTTACAGTCTGACACAGTAAAAAAGTCCTCACGGTCTGTGGAGATCAGGACCAAGCACAAGTCTGTGTTTTGTTCCAAGTACGAAATGTGGGCATGGAAGAAGCCACTGGAATTGAACTTGGGCAGGCAGATGGGTGTCCAGGCCTCTCCTTCTCTAAAAGAAGAGGAGGAACTGATGAGGTTAAAAAGTAAGTGGAGGTCAATTGGGTGTAGGAATTGGTCCTTTTTTCTCACTAGAGACACCAGCTGGCTCTTGGACAGGAGGATGGAAAACACTAGACTTTTGGCTTTGGCTTGCTGGAGGCAGGAACTCACTGCATCCCGGACTCCCACAGGCATAGGCAAGCAGCGGGCAGCTCCCATCAGGAAGCTGGGGTCCCTGGCCATTAGGTCTATCAAGTTGTTTGTAATACGCTCTGAGCCTGCCAGCAGTCTCCTGAGGTCATAGTTCTGCTTCTGTTGGAAGATGCGGTTGAGCTGGGTCCATGTCAGAAGACTGACAATCTGATAGTAAATATAAAGGAGTTCTTGAGCGATTTCTTGCTCGGATTGTCTTGTTTTAGCCACAGCGACCAGCACCAGTGGACTTCTGCGCACAAACACCACCTTATATCCATCTGCCAAGAAGGAAAGGATAGAGGTGAAGAAAAAATGGTAAACACCTGTCAGTACCTTCTTATTATTGTGCTAAACCTCTATCAGGAAGCAGTGATGGATTTTTGGGTTAGAATGTGTGGCCCACCAGATGTTGTTTGATTGAAGCTCCTATAAACCTAGCCCTTGGGATAACAGTCTGAAGTTAACATTTTAAAAGGAACTGGAGGCTTCTAAGAGAGACTATTTCTTCCCTTTCTTGCCTGACCAGGTCCAGAGGAGTGTATGAAGGCATTGGGGGCCATAAAAATCACCCTGGGAATTGCACTTGTCCACTTTGGTTGTATCTGGTGAAAAGGCTGCCTTGTTATGTAACAGTTCTGTGAATGCACTGTTTTTAATTGAAGTTTATATTGTAACTATCCTGTTGAAGCTCTTTAGAGAGCTGGCTGCAACGAAACGAGTGGGATAGTGACTAGAGAGATGCTGGTGGAAAGCTTGGGAGTAAGTCTAACCAAACTCTGGATAGAACCTATTTGAAAGCCTATGCCAGACATACCCCAAGGTGGGTCTGACAAAACTTGGGATGAGTTGGACCAAATTCGTCTTAGAACCCATTTTAAAGCCTGTGCCAGTGATGGTAAACCTTTCAGAGATGGAGTGCCCAAACTGGGGTGGAGGTGGGGGTGAGCAGTGAGCACTCAGGGGAGGCGGGGGGGGGGGGCAGCAGGTGAGCAGAGTATGAGCAAAGTGAGCAAGCGGGCAGATGGTGGGTGAGCAAGGGGGGTGGGCAAGCAGATGAGTGCTTGAGTGAGCAAGGGGGTGGGGCAGCAGGGAGGGAGACGAAAGCTTATGTGCCAGGAGAGAAGGCGCTGTGTGTCCCTTCTGAAACATGTGCCATGTGTTTGCCACCACTGGCTTATGCTATAGCATTGCAAGTAGCATTGCATCTGCAAAGAGACATCCAGAGGAACTGTTTCAAGTAATTAGGGGTCTTTTACAGCCTAATCTACAAGACAGCTGAGAACAATCCATTGTAAAGGATTTAGAAAGCATTTTGCAGTTAAAATCACTCATATTGATTTCAGATTGGGCAAGGTCTGATGCATCTAATTCTGGCCTTTGTGTGAATAGTTTTCCATTTATGCAGTGGACAGGAGAGGAGAGAGCTACCACCTGGACACCACCTAGCTTATTAAGCATGCCACAGGACGAGTGGGTAAAGACATTGGATGAGATAGATTGTCTAGATCAGACCTGCACAACAGTCTGGGGGCAGATGTGGCCCTCATAAGGATTTGGTGCAGCCTGCAGAGGCTCTGAGACAAAACCTTAGAGAGGGAGGTCACACACAATGCTACAGCAGAGTAGCAATTGGACCCCGTCATTCCCCCTTTCAAGTGTTTTACCTTGACACATTTCCTTTCTGTATGCACTAAAGTTAACAAACTAAACTGTGACAAGGGACACCACTGGGATGCTGGAAATGCTGAACTTGGAAATACAGCCTGGGGCAGTTGTTGACTCAGGTTGGAGTTGTGAGGAGCGGAGATGAAATTTTAAGGGGTATCAGACTTTTATTCAGGGAGGTTGGAATCTTGGTTTATGTTCAAATTAGAGTGGCCTTTTTTGAGGGAGAAGGGGGTGGAAAAGGCTATTAAAACCTTTCTCGAGCCCAAAAAGGTTTTAGCCTATTTAATTTCCGTCCCTTAAGACCTCAAAGTCATGCAGACCTGTTGTAGGTCCATCTAAGTCTGGTTTCTAGCCTGGTTATGGATGGAGACAGATTTGGAAGCCTTGGTTGATCATCTGCTCTGATTTGGACAACAGGAATATCTCTGTTGGTTTTGCCAATCTCTTGCAGACTTTCAGTATCATCAACCATGGTAGGCTTTCAGCCTGGAGATACTTTTACAATGGTTCTGTTATTTGATGGAAAAGAGAACTAAAAAAAGGTTCTGGGGAGATTTGTGTTTAATTCCTTGGTCATTAGCCTGTGGGGTCCATCAGGGTCCAGGTTTGCTCCCCGTGCTATTTATTGAAATTTCTAGGAGAGGTTGTCCAAAGTTTTGGGATGAAGGTGCTCATGATACCTGACTTTATCTCTCCTTCCTACTTAGCTGCAAGGTTTATGTACTAAGACAATATCTGCTCTCAGACAGGATAGAAATTAATCATCAGCAACATACAAAAGCATTTCAAAGATGGATAAAACATATTTTCCATTAACGTAAGAGGTTCTGGGAAAAATACTTTTTATCTAAAATTCTCAGAATCCTCGAGCCTACATGTCAACTATTATTATTATTATTATTATTATTATTATTATTATTATTATTAAACTTTATTTGTACCCCGCTAGCATCTCCCGAAGGACTCGATGCGGCTTACATAGGCCAAGGCCTCAAAACAGAACACAACAATACAACACCTAAAGCAAATTAAAAACAGTTAAGCAATATTAACAACAAGCAATAAACAATACATCAAGACAAAGACACTATAAAACTGGGCCGGGCCAGAGTAATGGGTACAAGATTAAAAGTGCTGATGTGGCAGGAGGTATGTAGGATTATAAGGTAAGGGAATTCTGAGAGTTGGTCTCTTTAAGTAACTTTCCTAAGCTCTCGGTATATCTTGGAAGAAACCCTTTTTCAATGTGATATTGGATACCTGCATGAATAGACCTGATGGCATTCTTCTCTGCTTCTAGGAAAGACACTAGAGCCATCATCACTCCCACGGTGCTGGATAGTGCCTCCTCAGACCCATAGCGGGAATACACTGGCTTTCCTGCCTCGCTTAGAACAAACACGTGCTTCTGGTGCATTCGCCAAGCCTCCATGGTGACATCTTCCTCCTCCTCTCCAGATAGGACTGAATCTCGGCGTAAAGCCTGTGGTGAGAGGTCCAGCTTATCCTCCTCATTCTGCCGTATCTCTTCTTCCAGATCCAGCGCTATACCAGTGAGCTGCGTACTTAACTCACTGAAATCCTTGCTAATCTCTTCCATCTTTGTCAGCTCATCTTGGGCCCCTTCCATCTGATCGGGGCTCCGGGGAATGACATCCTGATTATCTGTGCCAGTCAGGTCCTCATAGGACTGTGCATGAACAAACATGGCTCCCTCCTGGCCTGCTCCTTATAAATGATACCAGAATGATTAGTTAGTTATTCATCCTCAGAAGACAGGCACACACACACACACACACACACACACAAAGCTACAGCAAAGAAGCGGGCTCTGAAATATACAAAAAGCACATACAATGACACAAGCTAACCAAGGTTTTCCTCAACTTCATGCCCAGGTATTGGAACCAGATAGCACCTCTCCAGGCATTTCTAGATCCTCCATCACAATTCTATGGTCAAATTATGATGGAAGTTGGAGGACCTAGAGATACCTAGAGAGAAAAACATTTTAGGTGCATATAAGGCAGCAGAAGTCATCCACAAATAATACATTCTGTGACTATTTAGCCCCCAAATGTGCATTTTAATAATATGAAATTTAAGCCATAGTGGATATCAGATTCTTGAAAAAACTCTAGTTCTATAGGTTTTTGTACAACAAAGAAACCCTAAATGCCTTGAACTGTAAAATTATGGAAACTATTGCTAGAGACATGATATTGTGGTTCTCTTTCATGTATTTGAAATTAATTATAAATTGCTTGTACTAAAGAAAATCATATGCATTCTTCAGATATAGTTGGAATTTCTCACACAACAGCTTGGTTCTTATAGCTGTGTAATGAATAAAGAATAGTACACTGAATTTTGAGAAATGATTAGAAAAAGAACTCAACTATTTACGGGTTAAGCTTATTCCCAGAAATATGGCATGAGGAGGAGGAAGAATGATTCTCATTGTTCAAAGCAAAATTTGTTCTCTGGAATAATGACAGATGGACCTGGGTTGCATTGCAATCAAAGGGGAGCCTCAGCTGCTTCTACAAGACAGATAATATGTCCGTATCAGGATGGCCCACTAGGGCTTCAGAATAAACACTCAACTGTAAGAGAATCAAACTTGATGGTTAGGGTCTCTGAGCACTAAATCCCCAAACACTGTAAGGTGAGCAGTTTCCTTACCTTCATCTATGTCCTGCTTTGTATCATCCTTTGCCCCACTGAAATGCAGAAGTTAGCAGTTTCTGTGGCTTCCATTTCCTTTGCCCAATGGAATGTTGCATATACAACGGCTGGCATAAGGTGTTGGTTTTGTGGTTTGGAAATGGTAGCTACAGCACAGTTCATATACAATGTATTGTCGAAGGTTTTCATGGTCGGAATCACTGGGTTATTGTAGGTTTTTGGGCTGTATGGCCATGTTCTAGAAGCATTCTCTCCTGACATTTCGCCTGCATCTATGGCAGGCATCCTCAGAGGATGCCTGCCATAGATGCACGCGAAATATCAGGAGAGAATGCTTCTAGAACATGGCCATACAGCCCAAAAAATCTACAACAACCCAGTTCATATACAATTTTTTCAAAATAATACAAAACTGCTTTCACCTCAGCCTGATAACCATGATGTTTGGCTATATTTTAGTATATTCTGGAGAGGACCAGAGACATATAGGAATCCAGGTATAAGAATCATAGTAAATGATTATCTTATATAATCAGTTGAAAAAGTAATAGAAGGCTCTCAAAAGTGGTTCAACCATATATACAAAAAGGAGAATTATAAGGAGGCATTGTCTATACTAATTATTTTATAATAGCTACCACAAAGTTATTCCATGCAGAAAACATTACACCAGCATGATCAATTCTTTGTCTTTTTCTGGAAATAATAACTATTCCTATTTTGCCTTGAGGCCAGGTATTGTGGCCCTCCCAAAGAACAGCAAATCCCATTGTTCCCTTATCATTGGCTAGGGCTGGCTAGGGCTGGTGGGAGTTACAGTTGAACAACTTCTCGACGGCCTTATGTGGCCCCTCCTGCTGCAAATCATCACTTGAGCTGGAGATCATCATCCTGTTTACTGATATTCCACTGAAAATGCACAGGTAACGAGGCAGAAGGTCTCTGTATCAACTAAAAAATAAGGAAGTGTTGATCATAAAACTACATACAAAATGCTGGAATTACTTTCTGCTGAAACCTACCTGGCTCTGTTCCCTGAGCCAACCCTGGTGTAGGACTTTCTGATCTCTCGACATGTTGTCTGTCTGGTGGGACTAATGATCCATTGGGCACATCTCCACTTTTCTGCTTGTAAACATCAGCAGCCATCACCAAGAAACTAGAGGAACCTGCAATCAACAAAGCAGAAGTCAAATAAATCAACTAACAGTCTTTATTGTCTCAACATAATGCCGAACTGCTCAGTCTGAGTGAAAAGGAAAATAAGTCGGAGCTTTTTCTTCTTCTGTTTATTTGTACCCTGCTTTATTTGTCCCAAAGGAGACTCAAAGCGCCTTACATCAAAAAGTATGACCACACATTTAAAAATATACAAATATGCATCATATTTATACAATGGTAAATTTTCAGTGTTCGGTATCCCATAGTTACCATGGGAAATGGTTCCATAAAGGATCCTTGCTACCATTTTTTTAATATTTTTGACCTGTGGTTGATTGAATCTGTGGTGCAGAACCTATGGATACAGAGGGGCAACTGTATTGCAATTTTCCTTCCCATAAGGAAATGTAAGACTAATATTGTCTCTTTCTATATACAGAAGAGATGCTATGGTCTCTTTCACACTATACAGGCAGTATCTATACCATGTTGGTGTTGCTTTGTAGTTCATTGAGGTATTTAGAATACTCTGCCAGAGAATTCTAAATACCTCATAAAACTATCAATCCTAGGATTCCATAAGATGAAATTCTAGCTGTTGAAGTGATATTAAAGCACTTTGGACCAGGATACTATGTTGGTTCAGTTTTGGAAATATCTGCCAGCAGTGTTACACATACAACCCCTACAGTGAATACCAACATAGTACAATGCATGTGGATCAATGGCCAGTGCACATGGCTGATAATTCTTTGTGCAACTACAATGCACAATGTGCAAAGGTAATGCATAGAGGCAATCACATTCACATACTACCTTATGTACTGTGGGCCTTTGGTGTCCGCTGGGGTTTGGTTCCAGAATCCCACTACAGATAGCAAAATTTGTGGATGCTCAAGACCCACTATATCCAATGTCACAGTAAATCAGTGTCCCTTATATAAATTGGAAAAATGCAATACATTAGAATTTTTAAAAAGCATGGAGGGCCAGCTAGACTTTAATGCCACAACCATACAGTGCTTTTACCACTGTCAGCTGGATACAGTCATTGAACATTGTCAGAAAGAAAACCACCTCACAAGAATAGTGTAACTTGCACCTGCAGATGTCATTAACAAAGTGGTTCTGAACCTTCTTAATAGTGCAACCCCTTAATACAGTTCCTCATGTTGTGGTGACGCCCAACCATAAAATTATTTTTGTTGCTACTTCATAACTGTAATTCTGCTAGTGTTATGAATTGTAATGTAAATATCTGAATGTATTTTCATTCACTGGACCAAATTTGGCACAAATACCTGATACACTCAAATTTGAATATTAGTGGGGTTGATTTTGTCATTTGGGAGTTGCAGTTGCTGGGATTTATAGTTTACCTACAATCAAAGAGCATTCTGAACTCCACCAATGATGGAATTGTACCAAACTTGGCACACAGCACTCTCATGACCAACAGAAAATACTGGAAGGGTTTTGTGGGCACTGACCTTGAGTTTTGGAGTTGTAGTTCACCTACATCCAGAGAGCACTGTGAACTCAAACTATGATGGATCTGGACCAAATTTGTCATGGATACTCAATATGCCCAAATGTGAACAATGGTGGAGTTTGGGGAAAACAGACCTTGATCTTTGGAAGTTGTAGTTGCTGAGATTTATCGTTCACCTATAATCAAAGAGCATTCTGAACCCCACCAACAATATAATTGAGCCGAACTTCCCACACAGAACCCCCATGACCAACTGTGTTTTCTGATGGTCATTGGCAACCCATCTAACACCCCCTTGCAATCCCCCCCCCCCCGGGGCCCTGACCCCCAGGTTGAGAAACGCTGGACTAACAGGATGTTGGGCACAATGTAGAAAAAACTTAATAAACATTTATTACATGCAAATTATATTCAGAAGGCATCTGCCTCTGGCTGTCAAAAATCTAATGATAAACATGGGCAAGACATTTTCGATTATGAGATGAGAAAGATACATTACAGAAAGTCCAAAAGCAATACATTCAGGGTTCTTTTATTTGCCCTGAGGTTTCAAGACTATGGAAGCATATGACATCCTTATGAAGTAATGCAGCTACAACATTTCTACTGTTGCTGAGCATCTGAGGAAGGACATTGTTTGTGTTTCTATTAAATGAGGTCTTACTGCAAGTTGCACTATTTTTAGTTTTGAAACCATTTAAAAACAAAATGAACAGAATTGATTGCTCTGAAAACATTTCCTCTACACTGTATCATAAAAGTTAATATGTTGATAAATTTTATACATTGTAGAATTGTCATCCCTCAAAGATACAAAAACAAGCATAAGGGTGGGTACACATTTTAAATTGCACGAATAAAAACAAAATTGAAATTAGATTGGTAGTCGTAGTCTATTAACAGTTTTATATGTCATAACCTGTCTTGATCATGTGTACAAAGCATTTGTGATGGGATGATTTAAGCATTTCAACAGGCTCATGCTACAATCTAGTGCACATTTATATAAGAGTAAATCCCATAAAACAACAGATGGAACTATTTTAAGTAAATATGCTTTGGATCAAGTTGCAGAAAAATAATTAGCAAAGTGCATAGAAATTTTCCATAAATCTCTGTTGCACTAAACTGAAACATTTACAATTATATTGGTTTTTAATAGAAATTACTTTTCTCACCAATACTTAGCAAAATTCATATAAATGTGGAGAGGGAAATCTAGAGCTAATTTTAGACTTGGAAATTGCTTCTTCTGTTTCCTTGTTCCTTAGCTTCTCCTACTATTTCATCAGCATTTCTTTCTACCCCAAAACTGAGTTACACTGTTTTCACACTTATGGTTTCATCTCCTTTTGCATCTCCATAGAACATTGAATACTGAAAATTTCTGCAATTTTATATGGCTTTCTTCAGGAAACAGTACCATTTAATTCCACTGACATGTTATTGCTTAAGTAAACAAGTACAGATTCAAGCTTCAGCTTGTTTCAGATTCCTAGACATGAGAACCAGTAGCGTCAGCAAGAGCTATAACCGAAACTCTGAGATTATGATTGGCTGATAGGAACAAAAACCTAAATTCAAACAAGCCATTGAGATCTTGGAATTGAACTCACAATTTCTCAGTCAGTCCTGCAAGGATTTTCAAAGTGTCTTCCAAAAGTTTATATGTTTAAACTCTGTTTTAATTATCTGTAATCATTTTGAAAACTAATTCAGTTTTACAAAGCAGAAAGATTGAGAGAGGATACAATTATTCTTGTGTTTCCTGTACTTACTTGTGACTTACGGTGACCATAAAATGACCCTACCTAGTTTTCACAATACTTAACTGGCGGCTGCTGCAGTAGCAGCCAAGGTGTGCCACCTTCCCCCCAGAGATCTCCTGTTCTAGGGATTCCAGAGTAATCTCTCTAAACAACAACTATTCTTTGAATTTCCTGAGTCTCAAGCAAGCAATTTCATGACATAAAATATGGTCAGGACAGCACAACTAGCATTTTTTAACAGTGTATAGAATCAAGACATCAATTATCTTGCTCATTTACTGGTGCTCTCTTGGGTGATCAGCAAATCCTTGGATTAAATCCAAGTAGACTAAACCCACTCAGTCAGCAGACACATAAGATCTATAAATGGCGAATTACCAGGTTCCCATTGATTCAGTGGGTATGTCCTAGCTGAGAGTAACAATTTAGGCACCAGTATCCAGCTATGAGGAAAGGAATAGCTGACACTGTATAATAGTTTGAAAAAAAAATGTGGAAGAAGTCTGTACGTCTTTAGCTCATAACTCTATTTCTTTCAGGAGGGCTCAGTCCTGGTGACAGTGCAGGTGAACTACTGTTAAATCCATGGCCCTTGGCCTGGAATGGGGGGTCCCTCAGGATTTGGTTCTCCTCCCCTCCCCTATTCTATTTGGAATCTAATAATAATAATAATAAACTTTATTTGTACCCCGCCACCATCTCCCCAAAAGGGACTTGGGGCGGCTAACATGAAGCCAAGCCCAAAATTACAGTACAACAAAATAAAATACAAAAAGCAAAAATACCATCAAAATAAATACATGAAATAACCAAATAAAATAAACAGTTTCAAAATAACATGATAGAGAAATAGAACACAGTGGGTGGGCCAAATGTACTAGGAATAAAATTGATAAAACCATGGATGAGATATGTAGAATTTACATGAAACCATTAGGAAAAGCATCCTCAGCAGACCACTAACCAAGGAAATCCTACATATTATCAATGTCAACCTTTATTATATTGTATTACGGTCCTTTTGGGGAGCCCCTGGTGGCACAGTGGGTTAAACCGCTGAGCTGCTGAACTTTCTGACCAAAAGGTCACAGGTTAGAATTCAGGGGCAGTGTGAGCTACTGCTGTCAGCCCCAGCTTCTGCCAACCTAGCAGTTTGAAAACATGCAAAGGTGAGTAGATCAATAGGTACTGCTCCGGTGGGAAGATAACTTCGCTCCATGCAGTCATGCCGGCCACATGACATTGGAGGCATCTACAGGCAACGCTGGCTCTTCGGCTTAGAAATAGAGATGAGCACCAATCCCCAGAGTCAGACACAACTGGACTTAATGTCAGGGGAAAACCTTTACCCTTACTACAGTCCTTTTTAAGTACATTTCCATGGCTCTGAAGAACTCACTTGCCAATCTAAGATTCAGTAAACAGTAATTAGTCAGGCTATTACTGCAAGTCTCTTTTTTAAGGCCACTGAACACCTTATCTTCAAATTAGGAAATGTTAATTTCAGCAGTAGTTTTCTAATCCTGTTGCAATTCACATTTGATACATTGTTCTTCCCTTGGTTCATTAGCATATCTTTTGTGTTGGGATTTAGAAGGAATTTCACTGCTCTTTTTAAGTGCTTGTGTAATACTACTTTAGCAGAGCAGGGCTTCTGAAACTATTTCCACTCATGACCCAGTTCCACCTGAGAAATTTTTACATGACCCCAAGTATATAGGTATATAAAATAGATATAAAATCAAACCTTGACCGATAACAAACCAGCATTTACAAGGCTTGCATTTTTTTAATGAAGTACAACCGAAACATTTTCTGCCAAGTCCACTGTAAATGCTCCATGATGTTGCTAACAGATTCATGTAAATTGGTGGCATTCAGAAACCGCACAACTATGCATGTTTACGCAGCGGTCAATTCCACAGATTCCAATAAGCAGTACTTCCAGGTAAATGTAAATAAAGTGATCTCTATATGAGGTTGGAAAACTCTATTTTATTGTCTCCAGCTTCTTCATCACCATGGAAAAATACAGAAATATAGCCTGTCTTACTATAGGGCTTGGAAAAACTATTTTTGTGGTCTACAACTTTCATAACGCCACAGACAGAAAGACTATCCAAAAAGGGAACATTTCCAAGCTCAGTTTCTAAATGACACCTCTTTGATTTTGTAACATAAACATAAAGAGACTGCATTGAAGAACAAACCTGAAGACAGACAACAAAGGTCCCCCTAAAGCTGTGTCTCCAGTTGCATCTGATTTGCATTCTTTTTCATTTACAGTATATACTCGAGCATAAGCCAACCCTAATATTATTTATTTATTTAAAACATTTATATTCTGGCCTTCTCACCCTGAAGGGGACTCAGGGTGGAGCACAATATATAAACAGCAAACATTCAATGCTGGGACATAATTTGACTGTACATATACATAAACATTAAAAGTAATTATCTCAACATTAAACTCCACTGTCTATACCAGGGGTCCTCAAACTAAGGCCCGGGGGCCCTCCGAGGTCATTTACCCGGACCTCACTCAGGGTCAATGCAGCAGCTACTGGTAAATTTCAAAATAACAATAGATATCAATAAAATTACATTAATTGAGGCATATCTTATATATGGTAAATCCTCTCTTCCTGACTGTAGAGCACGCTCGCCAGCATTTCGCAGATGAAAACTGGGACGTGTGTATCCAAGCAACATCATAATGTGATCAAGGTGGCAAAACTGACCAGTGAGAGTGAACATACAAGCTAGGAGAGGTTGAAGCTGTTTGCTTTTGCTTGAGCCTCTTGGGAAGAGCTAGATTCCACCCCATCTTCTCTTTTCCCCTTATTGGGTTAATTGGGTGAAATTTTGTTTGCACTTCGAAATTTTGCAGCAAACGAGTAAGCTGTAAATAAAGGGAAGGGTTCTGGAGAAGAAAATATAAACTGGGACATTTTAAAAGCAGCCGAAAAACTGGGAGGACAGGTTAATAGAGTCTGTCCCCATCAAATTGGGACAGTTGGGAGGTATGAAACAGACCTGTTTGGGAGCAGTGGTGGGGAGAATCTGCCTTCCCATCCAGATTCTGCTATCAGCATGGCCAAATCACATCCCAACTGTGATTCAGTACACTTGCTCACTTTCTTCTGTGTAGCTGAATGGCCATCATGCTTCCCGAAGGACTTCAACCTGGCAGACCTTGGTTCAGCTCTTGCCCTTGGTACAGACTGAAACTTAGAACAAGCTAGCTTTCATGTAAATTTACTATACAATGCAATGATGGGTATTTCTAGCAACTCTGTAAACACAAAAAAAAAAAAAGGTTGTAAAGTGCTTTGCTACTGATAATGCATAGCATAAATATTTTTCAAAACACAGCACCAATGCTCTTCCCAATACGGCTAATGCTTGCTGGTGTAAGTTGTTCTGAAGACAAATTTATTTATTTATTTATTTATTTACTTTGCTTATATACCGCTGTATCTCAAGCCCGAAGGCGACTCACAGCGGTTCACAAACAATAGAAACAGTAGAAACAGCAGTGGTTCCATACAACATATAACAATTGACTTAACACATTATCCATAAATTACCAATAAGCAATTACAATGCACAATTATTACAAAAAACAACCGTACCCAATCTTCTCATCATTCAAGCGTAGTCCAGATTCGTCGTCCATTGTTCCATTCCTATGTTCCATTACCAGATTGTACTAAATTACTCAAACGCCTGCACAAACATCCAGGTCTTCACCTTTTTGCGGAATACCATTAGAGATGGTGCTAGTCTAATGTCCGTAGGAAGGGCGTTCCACAGCCGAGGAGCCACCACCGAGAAGGCCCTATCTCTCGTCCCCGCCAGCCGAGCTTGAGAAGCAGGCGGGATCGAGAGCAGGGTCTCCCCCGGAAGATCTCAAACTCCTGGTGGGTTCATAGGCAGAGATGCGGTCAGATAGGTAGCTTGGGCCGGAACCGTTTAGGGCTTTAAAGGCCAACGCCAGCACTTTGAATTCAGCCCGGTAGCAGATCGGTAGCCAGTGGAGTTGGCGCAACAGGGGGGTTGTATGCGCCCTGCGCTCCGCTCCTGTTAAAATCATGGCTGCCGAGCGTTGGACTAGTTGGAGCTTCCGAGCTGTCTTCAAAGGCAACCCCACGTAGAGAGCGTTGCAGTAGTCTAAACGGGATGTAACCAGAGCGTGGACTACCGTGGCCAAGTCAAATGGTCAAATGGTTCAATATGTTTCCGTAAAACACTTCTGTTATTTTACACTATCCAATTCTTATTTGTGACAAGGACCCAGGCTAGCAGACTATTCAAACCGTGCTAACGCATAGCTACTTCATCTACCCTGATTGTGCCTGGACTATCCCTCCATCAAATACATACTTCACATTCTGGCTAGCTCTCCATGCTTTCATTTCTGTAAGCTGCTCCGAGTCCCTCAGGGAGATGGGCCAGAGTATAAATTATTATTATTATTATTATTATTATTATTATTATTATTATTATTATTATTTTACTGACACAAAAACACAGTATGACACAGCAAATGACATTTATATGCTGGATTTCGTGTCACAAAATCATAAGACAAATACTTCTCAAGTGCTTAGGACTTTGTGATGTATTTTTGAATGATGCGCGCAGATCCAAGTAAGGTGGCCTTTTGCAGTTGACAGATCGTGATTTTGTTAATGTTTATTGTTTCCAAGTGCCGGCTGAGATCTTCTGGCACGGCACCCAGTGTGTCGATTACTACTGGGGCCAAGTGTACTGGTTTATGCCAGTACATATTATTTTATTATTATTTTTAAAAAACTCTTCTTTAAGGTGCCTCAAAAATCTTAATTTGTTATTTTTAGCAGAGTAAAAACTCCCACAGTATCTTGATTGTTCAAGCCATTATGAAAGTTCTGGCTTATGTTTATTGTCTTTGGTGGCATTATCGACTGATTCAATAAACTGAATTTCTTGGGAAATTATGTATGGCTGCATTTTTGTGTCCTGACTCCACAGCGGAGTAGCGGTTGTGTTGTGTCCTAAGAACAACACTGAAAACATGTCAAATTAAAGAGGCCCGCCCTGTGCCTGTCCCTTCCTGTTTGCTCTTTACAGCCCCAGCTAGCAAAAGCAGCCGCACACAAAGGGTACTTACAGCTTTGACAGGAACAGGGGGAGAGCACAGTGTCAGTTGAGATGTGTGGCTGTTTCTGATGGTGCTGGTGTTGCCTAAGCAGAAAGTGAAGAGCCTGAGACTGCAGGGGGAGAAGAGGGAGGGTTTTGGTCCTGCTGCTGCCGCTCTAGCCTTAGCTCCAAATGTCACTGCAGCCCTGGACACCCAGCCAGCTGATTCTGTCCTTGCCGGTTGCAGCCAGGAAAGTACTGTACACTACCTACTTCTCAGAGGTCACTTTTGACGTGCCACAACTCCCAGTGCATCTTGGGGATCGTAGTCCACAAATGCAGCTTAGTCTTTTGGTCGATGAAGGAGGAAATTCATAAATGACGGAAAAGAATCAGAGTTAATTCACATCTTCCAACACTGGGGGGTGCATCTCCACTGCAGAATGTATGCCGTTTGACACCACTTTATCTGCCATGGCTCGATGCAATGGAATCCTTGCAGTTGTAGCTTGGTGAGGCACCAGCACTATTTGGCAAAGAAGGATGCAGACATGTGACAGCTCCCAGGATTGCATGACATTTCAGCCATGACAGTTAAAATGCATAAATTCTGGGAAATCAAAACCAGCCAGAGTGAAGCTTCCTGTCATCCCAGAAATCCCTACTCTCTGTTTGATGATTATTATTATAGTACAGTAATAACTTATAGTACAGTAACAACCGCATAGTCAAAGCAATGGTATTACCCGTAGTCACCTATGGATGTGAGAACTGGACCATAGGGAAGGCTGAGTGAAGGAAGATAGATGCTTTTGAACTGTGGTGTTGGAGGAAAGTTCTGAGAGTGCCTTGGACAGCAAGAAGATCCAACCAGTCCATACTTCAGGGAATAAAGCCCGACTGCTCATTGGGGGGAAGAATAGTAGAGGCCAAGATGAAGTACTTTGGCCACATCATGAGAAAAAAGGAAAGCTTAGAGAAGACAATTATGCTGGGGGAAAAGGAAGGAAAAAAGGAAGAGGGGCCGACCGAGGGCAAGATGGATAGGATCCTTGAAGTGACTGGATTGACCTTGAAAGAGCTGGGGGTGGTGACGGCCGACAGGGAGCTCTGGCGTGGGCTGGTCCATGAGGTCACGAAGAGTCGGAAACGACTGAACGAATGAACAAGAACAACAACTTTTTAAGAGCCCCCAGTGGCGCAGTGGGTTAAAGTGCTGAGCTACTGAGCTGGTTGACTGAAAGTTCGCAGGTTCAAATCTGGGGAGTGGCATGAGCTTCCACTGTCAGCCCCAGCTTCTGCCAACCTAGCAGTTCGAAAACATGTAAATGTTAGTAGATCCGGCGGGAAGGTAATGGCTCTCCATGCAGTCATGCTGGCCACATGACCTTGGAGGTGTCTACGGACAACACTGGCTCTTCAGTTTAGAAATGGAGATGAGCACCACACCCCAGAGTCAGACACGACTGGACTTAATGTCAGGGGACAACCTTTACCTTTACCTAACAACTTTTTAAAAAAGTGTCTTGAGCCCTATGTGTAGATTATATCACTAATTCCATCTACAGCTACTCTCCCATTATGGTTGAGGATGAGGGATGAGTCTCTTTTCAGACTATTAAAACCTAAAAAATGGTATGTTCTGTAGTTTTCAATAATATGCAACCTATTTTTAAATGTTATGTATAAAACTATCAGAATATTAGCGGCATAATTTCTTGTGAGGAAGTTTCATGGGGTACATAGAAACCACCAAACACAGCATTGTCCAAACACGAATCAAGGAACCTGAAAGGCATTGCACACAAGGCCTGTAGCCAGGATTTTGTTTCGGGGGGGGGGGGGGGGGGGACTGTGTCTGAGTGAAAGAGGGTCTACCCTAGCAAACCTTTTGTCAGCCATAGCAGAGCAGAGCACCTGATGAACCAACCTGGACACAGTATATTATTTGATAACACAGAAATGCTGGACCACTGTAACAACTATCATGTCAGACTACACAGAGAAGCCATTGAGATCCACAAGCCTGTGGACAATTTCAACAGAAAGGAGGAAACCATGAAAATGAACAGAACCTCGCTACCAGTATTTTTTTAAAAAAACCCTCTAAAATCAGCACAGTAAATAAAGAACAACACTCAAAAACAGAATTCCAGACAAGAAACAATCAGGGTCAGCTAATCACCTCCCAACTAAGGATTCACTCAGGCAGCAAGCAGCCAAGCCTTCAAGTTGCAAGGCTATTCAATACTAATCAAGGCAATCAATTGCAACATTCACACTTGACACAAAGAGACAAGAGCTCTTTCTCCCACCTTGGACATTCAACAGATAGATAAACCCACTTGCTTAGTTTCCAACAAACCTCACAACCTCTGAGGATGCCTGCCACAGATGTGGGTGAAATGTCAGGAGAGATTGCTTCTGGAACATGACCATACAGCCTGGAAAACTCATAGCAACCCAATGATTTCATCCATGAAAGCTTTCAACAACACATTAATGGGGTATTATTACCAGAGCTGGGGACAATTATTTTGGTCTACAGCTCCCAGAATCCAAGACTCTGCATGACCATTAGTTACTGTAGTTAGGAGCCCCCGGTGGTGCAATGGGTTGAACCCTTGTGCCCGCAGGACTGCTGACTGAAAGGTTGGTGGTTTGAATCTGGGGAGTGGGCTGATCTCCCATCTGTCAGCTCCAGCTTCTCATGCGGGGACAAGAGAAAAGCCTCCCACAGGATAGTAAAACATCTGAGCATCCCCTGGGCAACGTCCTTGCAGAGGGTCAATTCTCTCATACCAGAAGTGACTTGCAGTTCTCAGTTTCTCAAGTTGCTCCTGGCACACAACAAAAGTTACTTTAGTTGGGGAATGATGGGAGCTATGTTTCAAAACGGGAACTTTTCCAGGATCTGGAGATTATACGGAAAGTATTTCCAAGGAGGTTTTTATGCTGAGTCAGTGGAGCTTTTTGTTATACTGTACATTTCAGAATTTCTTAATCAGATGTTGAAATTCTTTAATAGATAAGCCATACAAAGCCCCAGTGTACCTTCTCAACACTTCAACACTAAACTCTTTTATACTATGATCCTATTTTTGGAAGGATCTAAGATTATAAAATGTTTAATTCTGTTTTTCCAAACAAATATTAGCAGGACAAATAAATGTTGTAAGTGGCAAAAATTATATTCAGGAACAAAATGATACTCTTTGGAAAAACTGCATCCATACAGGTTATTTCATCAATATGCTTTAGCAAACATTGACAGGAGAAGTCTATAAATACTGTACTTCAGTTGCTCCAACTTGTCCAACTGGGCTGTATTTCCAATTTAAATGTTGGAGCATACAATTAGAATCAGAGGCAATGTTTTTCGGGAGTGCACACACATGAAACAGAAGTACCAGATTATTCTGAGATTCATGGCTGTTTACAAAACAAAAAGTGATACAAATACAGTAAAAACCATATATAGCTAAAAATATACCAAGTTAAGTTTATAACAACAAGAATTTTATTTCTTATCTGTCTCTCTTCATGGCTTGAGGAGGGTAACAACATCACTAAAAACACATCATCTTCTAAAACATTCTATAAAATATACATATTAAAACATATTCAACACTCTTGTTGTAGCCAAAGTTAGAATCAGGACCGCAGATAAGAGCATCCATGCCTGGCAGGCATTCAGGCTAAACCCAAATAGACCAGGACAGAGAAGTCACTCATTAGGGTGAAGACAAGCCACAGAGGTTTATTTGATCTGTCCAGAAAGGACGAGTGTGCAAGCTATTGCTTTCAAAGGTACAACATAACATGAATGTAAAGACAAAAGGTTTTATGCATTTGACAGCTATTCAAACCTCCCTCTCCCTCCTGATAGGTTGAAAGAAGAGCCAGTTTGGTTCTGCACCCTGATTGGAAAGTACTCTGATAACGTTACTGCCTCTAGGCAGGAACAAAAGGTGACGATTTCTTTAATCAAGCTTTGGATGTGGAATAAAGGATCTGCTAATGTACATATTCCAAACTTCTGTTTCCACAGTCAGCAATCTCTCAGTCCAAGTGAGATACTTGACTGACCAAACATTGACTGGCTTTGTGAGATCAGGCACAGAAATGGTCTATCATTCCACATATACACACAATAGATCTTGATTATAACCTTTGTCATGGATAGCTGGGGTGGTCAGCCCAACTGCTCCTATTCCAGGAAATGTCTCTGCAAAGTGAAGGCTTCTGAGGCTCGTCTCATTATGGTTTGGCATAAATCGCATATATTATATACACACAGATAGGAATAGAAATAGCATTAAAACATACAGACAAAAAAGGTAAAGGTTTTCCATGTCATTAAGTCCAGTTGTGTCCGACTCTGGGGATTGGTGCTCAACTCAATTTCTAAGCTGAAGAGCCAGCGTTGTCTGTAGACACCTCCAAGGTCATGTGGCCAGCATGCCTTCATGGAGTGCTGTTACCTTCCCATCGGAGCAGCACCTATTGATCTACTCACATTTGCATGTTTTCAAACTGCTAGGTTGGCAGAAGCTGGGGCTAACAGCAGTATCTCACACTGCTCCCCGGATTGGAACCTGTGACCTTTCAGTCAACCAGCTCAGCAGCTCAGCACTTTAACCCACTGTGCCACTGGGGGGGGTCCTTACAAGGTAGGCATAAAGTTGAGTGAAAAATTACATTTTCTTAATTGTAATAAATTAATTTTGAAATAATTTAGCCTTTGTGTGGGCATTGCTACTGATCTGCTTCTGGTATCCTCCTTCTCCATAATTTTGGAAGTCCAAATAATTTTTTTTAAGGGATACAAATTATGTTTTTATTCTGATGCCCTTGGGAAACCATAAATCTTGGGGGGGGGGGTATTTTGTTTGACAACATTGGGGCGGCCAATGAAAAGCTCCTCCCAGTGGTGAAAGTGACAGATGCCTGTGTAAAAGGACAAGTAAGTTGCAGTATGGAATACTCCCCATCAGGATATATTTAATTTTATTTTCTTTTGGGATTTTTTTAACAGAATTTAACAAAGAAAGCATCAATGCAGAAATATATTTGAACAATTACATAACAACACAGCACATTTCTACTCTAATTACACGTAGTTCTGTAACACACACACATACAGAGTATACATGTTATCAAACTGAAAAAGGACCCCCCTACCTTTTATTTGTTACAACAACTCAACTGGGACCTGCAGCAGGGAGTTCCACAGGTCATTCCACATACCAGTTGCTAAGGGTGGCTGCCTGCCGCCAGGCAGCCCCAGGAGCAGCCAGCAATCTCCAGAAAGACCTATAATTCCTTTTTTACAATTTAAACTAATAAAATTAAAGAAAGAGACTGAGCTCTCCTATCTTTCTTCGTTGCCTCTGTCTTTTTCCCACCACAAGGTTCAAACCATGTCTGGGTTCTCACTGGCTGAGGAGACTCAGAAAAAAGCACTGCAGATCCATTGCAGGGTCTGCACCTCTCTTCCTTCACACAGCAACATTCTATCAAGTATAATAGAATACACACACACACACACACACACACACACATATATATATCTATATATACCTGACCTTTCCAGGAGTCAGGGGCTGCATCCCTTTAAACCACAGATATGGGGGCCCATCGTCGTCGTCCCCCCCATATCTACGATCTGGGTGCCAGGGGCCTCCCAGACTCCTCTACACCACTCGTCCATGCCATATGTTCCTAGGAGCTCCGCTTCTCCCGACAGCCCCCTTTATTGCCCTTTCTGTCTCCCCTTCCCCCACTAACTAGCTCATTATCCCCTATCTATCTCCAAAATCCTAGTCCCAACTGGGCTGTTTTCTCCTAGGCTGGGCCTGGGGATGCCAAAGGCCCCCACAGAATCCCCGATCCCCTGTGTATGTTTCCCCAAAGTCCCAAGGAGCCACCAAGACCCCTGAAACCCCTCATGTCTCCCTAGGTTTTCCTTACTATATGCTTATTTTTCTTCCCCCATGGGTGATTTCGAACCTGTAAAATGTATAAAAGTGCATGTTTTTCTGTATTTTGTATCTCAGCTAAATTTTAGTGGGCTACTGAAAGCTGTTAACACTTCAGCTGATTTTAATAAAAGCTTTGGTGACTTCTCTTCAACTTGGTGAACATTCTTTTGTGGGATTAGCTTCCTTTGCTCACCAAGTGCTGGATCCTCAAGCAGCTGGCTGGGTGCCGAGCCATCCTCCACTTAACGGGCTTGGTTCCTGGACCCAGTTTCTGTCTATCCATGTCCCGGATCTCATTATCCGCGGTTTCATACATAAATTCATCTTTTACTCATCTTTTCTGCTCCATTATTAGCCAGTACAGTCAGTCCTCCATATACACATTGAGCATCCACAGAATCAACAATCAATTTGTTGTTGTTCATTCGTTCAGTCGTCTCCGACTCTTCGTGACCTCATGGACCAGCCCACGCCAGAGCTCCCTGTCGGCCGTCACCACCCCCAGCTCCTTCAAGGTCAGTCCAGTCACTTCAAGGATGCCATCCATCCATCTTGCCCTTGGTCGGCCCCTCTTCCTTTTGCCTTCCACTTTCCCCAGCATAATTGCCTTCTCTAGGCTTTGCTGTCTCCTCATGATGTGGCCAAAGTACTTCAACTTTGTCTCTAGTATCCTTCCCTCCAGTGAGCAGTCGGGCTTTATTTCCTGGAGGATGGACTGGTTGGATCTTCTCGCAGTCCAAGGAACTCTCAGAACTTTCCTCCAACACCACAGCTCAAAAGCATCGATCTTCCTTCGCTCAGCCTTCCCTAAGGTCCAGCTCTCACATCCGTAGGTGACTACAGGGAATACCATGGCTTTGACTAGGCGGATTTTTGTTGCAAGTGTGATGTCTCTACTCTTTACTATTTTATCGAGACTGGACATTGCTCTCCTCCCAAGAAGTAAGCGTCTTCTGATTTCCTGGCCACAGTCTGCATTTGCAGTAATCTTTGCACCTAGAAATACAAAGTCTGTAACGGCCTCCATGTTTTCTCCCTCTATTTTCCAGTTGTCAATCATTCTTGTTGCCATAATCTTGGTTTTTTTGATGTTTAGCTGCAACCCAGCTTTTGCACTTTCTTCAACAATCCATAACTTGAAAATATTTTTTAAAATCCCATCAAGCAAACCTTGATTTTGCCATTTTCTATAAGGGACACAGTTTTATGACACCATCTTATATAATCACTTTGATGATCGTAACTATGGGGATCCTGGATGCAAACTGCATTGGATAGGATACAATGGGCCCACTGTATGTAGCGAACAACATATTATGGTCTGTAGAGCTTTCCAGCAGGAAAACAGAATTCTAAGAAAATAGCGTCAGAGAAGAAACGTTTTAATGTTTAAATGAAAAGGTGTAGAATCATAGAATCACTTTTGGAGGAGACCCAAGGGCTGTCCAATCCAACTCCATTCTACCATGCAGGAACAGCCAATGAAAGCGCTCCCGACGAGTGACCAGACACCTCCAGAGAAGAAGAGTCCACCTTGCTCTAAAAGTGTTTCTACCTGGTGTAACGGATAACTGTGGTAGTTGTCTGTTAATAGTACAATAGGACAGATCTGGGGCAAAGATTAGGAGACTGAAGGAGAGACAGTCGCTTAGGCCAAGGACAGGTAAATGTGGGACTGAGGCTCTATAGATTGTGTGGATGAACCTTCAAGTTGCCTGTGGATTTGTGCCAAATCTTGAATTTCAAGATTCAAATTTCAAGAGTTCCCCACCCTTTACACACATTTTCTACCCAAAAGCCACTTTTAAAAAACTGTCAGAAAAGAAACAACAATTTTCTCAACTGTCTTGTTATCCAATATGGCTAATTAATATGGTTGAGAAAATAAGGGATTTATTTTTGAATATGTTGCAAGTTACACTTTTGAAGAAGTTTATTTCTAATTTTCTTTTCCTCTCTTTTTTGGGATGTATATTTACTGTTATGAAGTCATAGCAGAATTGAGAACAAAGAAAAGGGCATACGAACCCACGTGTTCACTTCAGTCATCTGGAGAGGCCTTGCTTGTGATCCCGCCTGCGTGGGGACACGAGACAGGGCCTTTTCCGTGGTGGCCCCCTGACTCTGGAACACCCTCCCCAAAGATCTTAGACAGGCCCCTACATTGGCAGTCTTCAGAAAGAACTTGAAGACCTGGCTGTTCCGATGTGCCTTCCCAGATTAGGAAATCTCCAATATCAAGTCCCATAAGCACTATACTAGTATTAAGATTGCTGCACGCCGCACACTGCACTTGCCCTACAATGCCTTATATACCACCTGTCACATCAGCACTTTTAATCCTGTACCCCATTACTCTGGCCTGGCCCAGTTTTATTGTGTCTTTGTGTATTGTTTATTGCCTGTTGTTTATATTGCTTTAATTGTTTTAATTTGTTTTAGGTTTTGTATTGTATATTGTGTATTGAGGCCTTGGCCTTTGTAAGCCGCATTGAGTCCTTCGGGAGATGCTAGCGGGGTACAAATAAAGTTTAATAATTAATTTTAATAATAATAGTCATATTTCTGTATTTCAAGCCTTTTTTGAATAGTTATTTCTCTGTCTATTGCCTATAAACACAGAGCATCTATAGTAGAAAATCTTATTTTAAACAAATGATAAAATGTTCATTCCTTACATATTTGTAAGATGCAGGCCCAAAGAATCTATTGCAATTTACATGTGTCCTAAATGTGGTTTTATTGTTACAATTGTAGTAGCAGCAGGAGAAAAAAAGCTGGTTTTGTACAATAATAACATAAACCATGAACTCCTTAATTTCCAATAAAGTTTCATCACCAAGAGAGAAAAAAGAAACAACAATTCTGTCCTGCGTCAGAATAAGGAGGCCAAGAGTATGTTTTTTTTGACAGCAAGATCTCCATTGTCTGCTTTGGGCAGCTCCCACTTCCGCCTCCGAGGCGAGAGGGAGGGAGGGGGGAAGGAAGGAAGGGGGAAGGAACCCGGATGAGAAGCTTGACCACTATAGTGCCTTTGGGGTGGGGACGCTCTAGCCGTCACGACTCTATGGCCATGCGGGAGGGGCCGGCAGGTCACGTGGTTAAGTTCACCGGAACTTCCGCTGTCTTCTCGGATCGGCGCCGCGCCTTCGCAGGAGGCCTGAGGCGCCCGTTCCCCGCCTGACCGACTCTGGTAGGTGGCTCTGACTGGTGTGAGGATTCGTCTGGTGGGTTTTATGCTCCTCTTTGCGGGCTCGGAGGGGTCTCTCTGTCATGTCGGGCACGCAGGGCCCTCCTTCTCGGTTCCGGCGTGCAGGAAAGGGCTGCTTTGCTCGTCGGAGGGGGGGGGATGCCAGGCGAGGCGGGAAACGCTCGCCCAGCACCTGGGGCCTCCTCGGCTTGTGGCGCCTACGCGTCCCTTCCCTCCTGGGCTGAGACCCTGGGCGGCATCTGTTTTCTTCCTGAGGCGGCGGGTGACGTCGACAAGCTCAACCAGAGGAGGCGGGCGGAGGAAGGAAGAGAGGGAGGGGAGGTAATATCCAGGGCATGCAGCTGCTGGAAGAAACATTAACAACCTTAGATATGCAGATGATACCACTTTGATGGCCAAAAGCGAGGAGCAGCTGAGGAGCCTTCTAATCAAGATGAAAGAAGAAATTGCAAAAGCTGGGTTGCAGCTAAACATAAAAAACCCAAAATTATGACAACAAGAATGACTGACAACTGGGAAATAGAGGGAAAAAACGTGGAGGCCGTGACAAACTTCGTATTTCTAGGTGCAAAGATTCCTGCAGCCAGGAAATCAGGAGACGCTTTCTTCTTGGGAGGAGAGCAATGACCAATCTCAATAGAATAGTGAAGAGTAGAGACATCACACTGGCAACGAAGATCCACATAGTAAAAGCAATGGTATTCCCCGTAGTTACCTACAGATGTGAGAGCTGGCCCATAGGGAAGGCTGCATGAAGGAAAATAGCTGCTTTTGAATAGTGGTGTTGGAGGAAAGTTCTGAAAGTGCCTTGGACTTCAGGAAATAAAGCCCAACTGCTCATTGGAGGGAAGGATATTAGAGGCCAAGATGACATATTTTGGCCACATAATGAGAAGACAATGATGCTGGGGAAAATGGAAGGAAAAAGGAAGAGGGGCCGACCAAGGGCAAGATGGATGGATGGCATCCTTAAAGTGACTGGCTTGACCTTGAAGGAGCTGGGGGTGGTGACGGCCGATGGGGAGCTCTGGAGTGGGCTGGTCCATGAGGTCACGAAGAGTCGAAAGCGCCTGAACAAGTGAACAACAATAACAGCCCGCCCGGCTTTCCATTGGAGAAAGAGAGGTGTCACTGTAATAATTAGAGCTTGTCCTTCGATAGTATTACTCTAGCCACTGTCCTTTAGCATGTCTTTGGTCAAAGGTCTCTAATGTCAGTCTCACCATGGAGAACTGCCATTACCTATGCAGCTGAAGGCTACATTTGGCCTGGGCAAGTTTTGGCTCTCTGGATGTTTTGGACTTCAACTCCCACAATTCCTAACAGCCAGCTGTTAGGAGTTGTGGGAGTTGAAGGCCAAAATACCCCGAGGGCCGAAGTTTGCTCAAACCCGTTAACTACATGTAACATGTTGCCGTCGTGAAATATACTGCTTTGAAATTGGGTCCATCATTTTGAAATGCCCTGTGATGCTTTTTCCATGAATTTCTTTCACACGTTGATTATCCCTTTTCCAGAAGGATTGATACTAGAACTGTTTTGGATTTCGCATTATTATTGTGCCATGGAATTTAAAGTGCACTGCTTTTTAGTGTTGTGACTGCATTGCATTTCAAACAAGACCTACACATGGGATACAAATATTCTTGTTATTACATTCTTGTTATTACAATACATTCTTGTTATTATTCTTTAGGGTGGTACATAATGACATATTTTGGAGATGAGACCCAAGGCACAGCTTGAAATTCATTGTTGCTTCATAGATGGGGAACTGGGCATATTTGGGTTGTAGAAAAAAGGGCTGAGAGGGGACATCCTTGCCATGCTTAAATATTTGAAAGGATGTCATGTTGAGAAAGAGGCAAGCTTGTTTTCTGCTTTTGTGGTGACTAGGACATGAAGCTGTGGATTTAAATTAGACCTAAACATTAGGCAGAACTTCCTGACAGTAAGAACTTTTCGGCAGTGGAATATGCAGATGTCTGGGAACCTGGTGGAATCTCCTTCTCTGGAGGTTTTTAAGCAGAGGGTGGATGGCCATCTGCTGAGGGTGCTTTGATTGTGTGTCCCTGCATGGCAGAATGGGGATGAAGAGGCCTTCTGGTCTCTTCCAACTCTATGAAAGTAATTTTCTACAGTGTTTTAATGTTGTGCATGAAATTCTTGTGTACATTGAATCATTAGAAAGCAAAGGTTTGTCACTCTCTTAGCAACCCATATGGAGATTTGGTGGTATTTCTGAATTAAGGAATGCGGAATCTGTATTGTTAAATTTCACCAGAACCACTACTACAGATAAGAATTTGAAACAAAGATACACGCTTCCTAACCCTACCCCAAATAAAAATCGAAATGTCAGGAAAATTGTATTTCAGTCTAAGTAAATGCTGCAAAAGTCAATAAAACCATATGATCTTAATATTTATTTATTTATTTATTTACAGTATTTATATACCGCTTTCTCACCCCTAGGGGGACTCAAAGCGGTGATACTTAGTCCAGAGATGGGGAAAGTGCAACCCTTTAGTCCATTAAAATTGGTCCAGTAAACTGAGGTTTTTATGCTATAGTTAGAACTTGATAATGTTTATCCTTCAGTTGTCTTATAGAATTGACCAGTAATTCTATCCCCAGGTGTTTTGGTCTATAACTCCCAGAAACCCCAGCTAGTTTGCCAGCTGTTAAGATTTCTGGGAGTTGAAGGGCAAAACATCTGGGGACCCACAGGTTGAGAACCACTGGAATAGACTGTCTTTTCTATTACCCTTCTATGGATATATGTTAACATAGTGTAAGTTTCCCTTCAACTGCTTTATGTTTTGTATAAATTTTAGCTGTGAGTTTTTAATACCATTTATATTTAACTAGCCATCCCCTTCCACGTGTTGCTGTAGCTCAGTCTGTGTATACATGTTTTCTGTGTGTATATGTGTTTGTATATATTTGTGTATGTGTGCATACATATGTGTGGTTTGCGCATGTAATTTTTGTTTTTTGGCTTTTTGAGTCTCTTTTGTTGTGTTTTTCAGTGTTTTTATGAGTGATGGTCACTCATTGGCCTGATGGGTGTATTCTGTCCAAATTTGGTGTCAATTTGTCCAGTGGTTTTTGAGTTATGTTAATCCCTCAAATGAATATTGCATTTTTATTTATATAGATTCTGTTTGTATATTTTCAGATTTTAAATTGTATTGAAATGCTTTTAATGTAAGCCACCATGAGTTTTTTTGTGGAGAGAAAAAGTGTGGTATACAGTAAATAAACATAATAATAGCAATAATTATTACAATAGCATTATAACCAAACAGATTTAGCTTGGTTTTAATATTTTTTGAATTAATTAATTTCATAATTTAATAAATTAATCTATAAGTAATGGATTCTTGATTTCCAACTTGGTAATTTAGCCTTTCTTCAGAAAAAGGCTAAATGCAGTAGGTCCAGTTTCAATTAACAATGGTATATTGGTGCTGCAGTAATACTAGAATTAGTCAGGGCCTGAGCTCTGTCGAAAAATGGGAGGAGAAAGTATTCAGAGAAGAGAGGTGGAAGATAAAAGGAACAAAGTGAAATGTCCATGCACAGTAGACATTTTTAATACATTTAATGCATTTACCTTGTTTTAATTTGTATTGTGTCATACTTGTTATCAACTACTTTTGAGTCTCTATGTTGGGAAAAAGGTGGGATAAAACTAAATTACTTTCACAGGGGTTAGGAATGCGGGGTCCCAAGAAAATGGGAGAAGGGCAATATTTAAAAAGCTTTTTTTTAAAAAAAAAACAACAAACTTGGCAGAACATCTTTCTAGGAATATCTAAGTGATCCAACATTGACCATAAAATCCTGCTAGAGTACCAGGGACCACTCTCCAACATTAGTACCAAAAGGGTTACAAATCAGCTTTTGGTCAACTTTAGATTTAGTTTGGTTATTTGGGGTGCTGATTCAGAAAAATGCATTGGATAGACTACATCAGCTCATTTCTGATACAGAACATATGCTATCCAGTAGTTTACATCTGCTTGCCCCCAGAAAACAATATTTAATAAGCCTCGGCACTATACGAGGGTTTTGCAAGACCAATTGCTCTCGTTGCAATGTTGTAGTAACTGTGATGCCGCGGACCATATTCCACAGACCATAGATTGGGAACTACTGCCATAGTGTGTAGAGATTTTGAGAGAGAACATAATAAAATCTGTAAATAATCAAATTCTCAAAAGTTTAACCTGCAGATTTGAAGGATTTATTGTACTGATCTTAATTTTACTGGCAAAACCCAGAATGACCTCATATTTCTCCCTCAGTTGTGTAAAGAATGGGTGAACACAAATTTAAATTAAAGTATTGTGGCACTATCCTTTTAAGTTAATGAATGCTTGGAACGCATTCTGGTTGGATCATGTTTGTTTGAGCATACTGAATTAGAAGATTAGCATATTGAACTTAAATTAACAAAAAAGCCGAAAGAATTGTTAGAACAACTACAGCCTTGCTGGTATCCAGCACTGTTGAAGTTAAAGTAATATATTTGCATGGAACTGTGCAGCCATACAGCTCCCAAAAAGTGACTTTAATAACAAAATATAACTTTGTAGAAATCAAATCAATAAAATAAATAAAACATTCAGATAAAAATGCACAGGAATCAATTCTGCTTGGTAGGATCAAACTATTCTGTTCTGGGAATGAAAATGTTTAAAATTAATTGAATAATATAATAATGTAATAAAAATAGAGAAGATATCACATTAACAGTCAGAATAAAGCACATGCGAATACAACTATGACTCATTAATTTTATTGTACCTATTTTATACATGAATATAAACCTATTTGTAGATTTATCTATTCAGGACACTGAGTTTCTGTATATTTTTTAATCATAAAATTGCTTATGGTCATTTAAAATAGTTGTTAAATACCCAGAATCAAGTAGTAACTTTCTTTAAGGACAACACTCTATTACACAGGGA